AGGGTTTTTTTTTTTTTTTTGGTTCTGGCTTCAAAACATGCATGTGAACCCATTGAGCGATAAGGACAGAGCTGCTGGTTATTGGAAAAACGCTTTTTAAAAAATAAAATATACCCCCAATAAAACAGCCTGAGGAAATTTTCAGTGAATCTGAAGAAGAGAAAATAAAGGAAATGATTAAAATACGACAAAAAAAGCAACTGCAACAGCAACAAAGTCTTATTCCAGATGTGAACAACGTCTTTTTGTAATTTAAACAACAAAATTACAATAAAAGTAAGAAACAGCCGTAATGTGAGCATTAATTTGCTACCTGTCATGTTGAAGTGGCTTCCGTGGGTCTGTGAGATCGCGACCCGCCTGTATGAGGGGAATCTTTGATCTGACGTTCACGAATCGGTGCTTCCCTGTATCAGAAGAGCACACCATCACACTGAGGAAACACAATATCGGTGAACTAGGTGCTATGTGGTGCTAAAAATATATACCTTTTTTCCTGTACTTGTTTGTTGTAATTGAAAACGGCTCTGCGGTGATACCCAAGTGGTTCCACGTCTTCTGTCAAAGTCCTAGCTTTGCTTCCCGAGGTGGGGAAGTATTTGTATGCATGCCGTAAAATCATATTCATTTATAGATGAGAACACGTTTTTCTTCTGTTATCATTCCTCACCACGTTTGACAAATGTCCAGATTGTTATATGGAGATCATTTATGGTCCTCCAAAGGCTTTAGCTCACACTTCACATTACAACGTTCGCGTCACAGTCTATTCACATGATCTGAAATGGTTAAACGGAGCACAATTACTGTTAATGCTGTTGTGATTGAGGTAGCACGTGTAACATGGACCCTGCAATGTAAAGTGTTACTCTAGCTAACAGAAGCGATGGAACTGAAATGCCTTTTCACACACAATTAGCTTGGGACCTTTTCATTAGATCTTTTTGGAGGGTCCTGTGAATATTTTAACCAAAACGCTTAGAGGAATGAATAGTTAACTTGACTGCCGATTTCAGCTTTCCTTCCAAAGAGATTTCTCTTAATTTAAGAGACTTGAAGACCAAGAATCAGATTGTCTTGTGTGATTATTCACGTTTGTTGTTTGTACATTACAAAATTTCGCTAGCATATATTCCTTCACCTGCCAGAATTTGTTGTCATTGACTAGAGCCATCTTGTTATTCATCTATCACACCTTTTGCCACTAGACATTTCCTGCACTCTTTTGTTCTGCTTTTTGACCACTAGACCTGCTACTGCAAAATCTTGCTCAAATTTTTTAAATATGACTTGAACTGGTTCTTTTAAGAGGATTCAACATGGAATATGCAGTTTTGACACAATTTTGTCAGTACGAAACACATTTCAACCGATTCTTCTGTAAATTTCAAAACCAGCAGTAATGCTGCCAATAAAGTTTACTCTTTTTTTTTTTTTTTTTT